GCATTCTGCCAAGGCAAGCACATTTCAGAGTAATTAACAAAAAAATAAAACTAGTTCTACAGAAAAATCTTACTTGTCCTCACTATGGAAATCACTTCTGCTTATCCAGACTTTCCCAGAGTCTCCAAAATTACTGCAGCAGTGCATCCCTGAACAGAGAGACTTCTGGAAAAAGCAGAGATTACTCGGCAGCACCTGATGAGAAGCAGCAATGCAGCCCGATGAATCTGTGGTTATCAGATTGTTCCTGCTCTAAGCAAAAGAGTCAGTACAAACCACAAAACCCCTGACATGTAAAATGTCATTGTCAGGGCAAGCCAGGCTGGGCTCTGACAGCAAATAACCTTTCAGGCATAAGCACTGTAACATCATCTCACCCAATTAAAACATCATTTGTACGTCAGGTTCTGTTGTTCAGAGGAGCCCAAGAGTCTCTTGTTGTGCCAGTCTTTCAGTCTCCAAGAACATTTGCAGATTTCCAGTCCATAATTCAATAGCCACAGACGAAATACTCCCCAAAGGGCAACAAGATGTACTGTACAAAAATACATATTTTTCAACAGGCTTCACGCAAGAAAGACTGAGCCCATCAACACCAGAAAGCAATTCTGTACAACAATGCTCTTCTGATCAGCAAAGCCTCGTGGGGCTCATTATAAAATCCTCTCCACATGCTGTGAAGATCCTTGGAAGTCTGTGTCTTGAATACCAGAACAGAGATGGCGTAACCATTGCACCAATCTGACACAGAACCCACAACAGCTCAACACCTCAGCACTGTGTTGAGGCAAACACACACCCACAGCCACATGCAGACAGCCACAGCACCGCTGATTCCAGGAATCACTTCAGTGGTCTGCGGGCAGGACAGTGCCCACCCGTGACCCTGCTGACCACCTCCTCTAAACCCCTGTCCTGCCTCTGCCATGACCTGCTCAGCTTTGTCCGACACCACTGCTGGGTTGTGTGTGGGACTGTTGGGTGATTGGTGACCCACGTGCAGCCCCGGATCTCATGTGCCCTCCCTCATCTACAAGAGCCAATTTCAGTCCTAAACATCAGTGAAATAATGAAATGTTATGTCACTAGCTTTGACAGCAAGAGCCAGCATCTGAGAACAGGATTAGACCATGGTCCTCACAGTGTATTCCTGAAGTAATCCATAAGATCATATTCAGAAACCGAACAAAAATAAGGCACCGATTTTAAATTTAAAATTAAATTTAAGCAAGTTTAAGCACATGGACCAAGGCAAACTTGCTGGAAGCAAGCTGCTCTTCCCTACCCCAAGTTTTTAGAAGCACTGCTAAGTGCCTGGGTCGGTGGCCCAGGGGAAGGGGAAGGGTTACCTCTGCGGAGCAGCTGTCCCTGTCCGCCTGCCGCCGAAAGCCACCGCTCGGTCACCATGTCAGCACCGACAGCCAAGAGCTGGAGCAATCTGCAGGAGGACACACAGCGAGTTTCCACGGCTGTGCTGAAGGCCAGATATTTATGCTGCTGGGAGCACTGGGCTGGGTCCAGCAGCAGCTCTGAAATTTAAACACACACTCCCTCTTTTGCGCGCTGAAACCCTGGGCCAGGGTGACTCCACAGCATCTGTCCCAAGATCAGGGGGCAGAGCAAACCCTGGGGTGTCCCAGCAGTGACAGCCCCATCCCCTCACCATGGATGTCACCTTTGCCTCAAGTCACCTGCAGCCAGAGGCTGATGACTCTGAGCTCTTATGACAATGCACAGAGTTGATGCTAGGAAAAGGTCTATGGTGGCCACAAGGCTGCTTGTTTACCCAGCTTGCTTAATCCACCTTTAAGAGGCTGCCAGAAAGTTCCTGCAACTTTAATGAACTTCCTCTTGGGTGGCTGAAACTTAAGGATTCAACAGAGTTCATTCACTCTTCTTGGTTTTCCTGATAACTTTGCCTTGTATGAATTTCAGACTCAAAAGAGAAGGAAGAGACTTATGCTGGGAAAAAAAATGGCTTATGAGGCTTTGAACTAGAGGACTTAGAGGAAATATGTCCTATTTTTAGACAGTTATGCAGACTAACTGGACTAAAACATTAAACAAAGATGCTGTGAACATGATGCTATTTGCACCCACATACCCTCCTTGACATTAGCCAGGCTTAGCTGCTCCTCCCACTCCCATGAAAAGCCCGGTTTGTATTGCTGCCCTTGACATGGGACAACTTGTGAGGCAGCTGAGGACCAGAAACAGACCAGAAACAGACCAGAAACAAACCAGCATCACCAGCCCCTTCCAGGCCAGGCAGCAACCTGCGAGTGCTGTGCTGAGAGTGAGCCCCCGGTGCAGCACATCCTTCCAGGTCTGACATGGCAGTGGCAGCTGCAGCTGCCCAGGGGACATGAACATTAACATGAACCCCCTACCTCAAAAGCTGAGTGTGGAGGGTGTTCCCTACAGGATCAAGACACTCCCAGAGGAGGGTAGAAGTGTGAGATCCGAAAATATAACCCGAGTCCCTTGCACTGGAGCACCAATCACATCAGGATTTCCCAATCAGTGATGTCAAAGCCACATCCTCTTGAAGGCAGTGATTGCCCTTGTTTCGAGGTGGGGGCTGAGGACAGCCCAGAGCTCTGACAAGTGTGGATCCAGCACCAGCCTCTGCCTCAGTGGGGCCACAGAATTGCCCTCAGGAGCTTCACTTTCACAGCACAGTGGGTTTCTCATCCCTTCTCCCACAATATGGAAGACAGTTTTTCTGAACAGTCCTGACAAAGTTTCTCTTTAATCTCTTGGACAAAGAACAACACTAAAGTCATTCCAGCCCCACTGGCACATCAGGAGGTGGCTTTCTCCACCTCCACCAGCAATAAAGCTCATCCCGATTCAGTAACACAGCATTAGCCTTGACACTGTCAACGAGGGCTGAATCACATGCAGGGAGTGCACAAATCACACCCTCAGCTCTCTCTCATTGCAGACCAGAGTGCTCTGCTGCTGCTGCTGCTGCCAGAGATCTGAGAATTAAAACTAAATGCCTGGCTCACCTTGTCCCACTCACAGCTAAATGCCAGGACATGCCCATCACACCACACACAAGGCAACACTTGCACCAGCTCAGCAGGGCATGGAGGGAACCTGCCAGCACATCCCACCTGGATGCTTCCTCTGCTGTCCCTGGCTGACACACGGCAAGTCATCAGGAAAACTCCCACCTCACCCAGGAGCGTGTTTGTACAGAAGAGGATACTCTGCTGGAGGCAATGAGGAATTTGCATGGAGAGGGCAGGAGGAGAGCAGAAACAAGAAATGGGACATGGGCTGCCTCAACCCCCAGGTCAGTGCTTTAGAGACCAACACTGCAACCAGCCCTGGGACTGATTCATGGGGCAGCCACTGCTCAGACCCCTCTGCAGGGGCATTGTCCAGATCCTACAGCATGTCTGATTCCTTCCCTCGCCCATCCTTCATCTGGGATCCCAAGGCAGGGGGGAGTGGAATGGGCATGTATGAGGGATGAGAAAGGACTCTCATACCCTTCCTCCTGGAGCAGCCCCTCACCAGATGCTCTGCTCAAGGTCCACCCTGACCCTCCTCCTCCTCCTCCTTCCAGCCCCAAACTCCTGCAGAGCCTGGTGCCCTCCAGCACCCCAGCCCGGCACAGAAGACAGCCACACTGTTCCCCTAAGCCCTCCTCCCGTGTGGGCCACGCACCGCCCTCAGTCTCGCTTGATTTCCCAAAAACTACAGCCTAAACCCAGTGATACCCCTCACGCCCCAGCTCTCCACACCCACGTCCCCTTCGCACCAAGCCCTGCCCTTCACACCCCCTGCCCCAACCCTGTCACCCCCTCAACCCTTTACACCCCCTGCCCAAACCCTGTCACCCCCCCAGCCCCTCACACC